TGGCCATGCACAAGGGCACACGAAGAAGGTATGTGTACATACATAAACACGCACAATCATCGCAACACACACACATACGCAGAGGGCTCAAGGATATAGGAACTATGTATAACTATGCACACTGACTGGCCCGATTGCAAAATAAGCATATACACACACAGTCCCATCTTCAACAACACAGCACCGGAACTAGACACAAACCGTTAGACAAATTCACTGAAAACGTTCACCCCGCGTGACTCAACCCAAAGTTACGCACACTCCAACACCGATAGACCGATAGAGAAGCAGTCAAGCAGCCGACTAGACGAGTATATGGCCCACGGCAGTCAGTGGTGGACAAGTGCGTAGGGGGAGCAGAGTGACTACACACCACCCCACACGAACTAATTAGACACACCAATACATATACAGAGCCTGTGGACAATCACAGCCACAACCACCACCCCACACCAACAAATTAAACCCACCAATACATATACAGAGCCTATGGACAATCACAGCCACAACCACCACCCCACACCAACTAATTAAACACACCAATACATACACAGAGCCTATGCACAATCACAGCCACAACCACCACCACCACAAACACTGAGCACAACCATATACGTATCTCGCTTCAATACTCAAGGTGACTTACTCGCCAACGCCAATGGAGAAGCTGGTCAGCATGGCGGAGATGAACATCTCACCAATGCCCGTCCACGGGTACACACGCGCACGGGGGTGCAGGTTGAAGACAAAGCACTCGCCACTGCCAAAGTAGCGCCGCTCGTCTACGTGAAGGGGCTCAGAGAAGTACGCCCCAAACACCTGATATATATATATATATGTAATGTATGAGTGATATAATATATATATATATATATATATATATATACACGAGTGATGGGAAGTATTGATTGGGGTGCGTTGAATGGTATCTCTCGTAGAGTAGAACTGGCAGGGGTGTTCGCAGACGTGAAAGGCGAGTAGGGCTAAAAATAGAACAGATGATTGATAAATCTCTGTGGACTTCATATATACACACACACATATACATATACATAAATACATACATACATACATACTTACTTACATACATACACACACATACCTAAATAAATAAATACATACATACATACATACATACATACACATCCATACATCCAGTGACCAAACTGACACTATATCCGAACACATCTCAAAACGGAAAAAGGCTGGCCGCCAATCGTCGAGAGAGGTCACGAATTTATAATTTTCCGATAATCCAGCCTGCATGAGCAATAACAGTTATCGCTCTCGACGAAGAAGAAACTCAACAACTCTTCGTTGAGAGCGACAACTGTTATTGCTCACCCAGGTTGGGCCAGCCTTTGAGATGTGTTCGGATATAGTGTCAGTTTGGTCTCTGGAAGAAGATATGTGTATGTAGGCAAATGAGCAGTTTTACGCGACATACAAGATGATGAAATCCATTGGTCATGTCGGCTACATATTGACAGCACAGAGAGTGGTTGACCCTTCGCGCAATCCATACACAGTACACCGCGAATGGCCTGTCGCACAGCCGGCATGGCACACGACCAGCATAGACTCACAATTGAAAATATGACTGACATATGACACTAATACTGACATTTATCTGACACCATTTAAAACTGACATGAACAGGGGATGAGTCCTTGAACCGATGAAAGTTTGAGGCAACAACCAGTCTGTAAAAACCTCAGATGTTCTGCAGATGCATACATGAACGCATATATTATATATACGTATAGATGTTCTGGGCCACACAATCGGTACACTGACGAAGCCAACGAGTAGTATACTACGCCGCACCAATCAAACCCCACGCCGTAACCCAACCCGCAGATATCAACCACCGCAGATGCATATATGAACGCTTATATTACATATACGTATACGTATATCTGTGGTATCGTAGCATCCCCAATGTAACAAGCTATGGCTGTATACGTATTTGTCGTATATACACACAACAAGCAATGCCACGTGTGTATCCCGTGTAACAACACTCACTGTGTGCAGTATCAGTCTCGTGCACAGTCAGCCCAATGTCCCAGCCCTGCACCTACTCACACAGGGCGGACTCCATATGCCCCCGTCAAACCCAACAACCCTAAACCCCAGAGCCGTTGGTCAAAAGTACCTACCGCGTTCCTTTTGTCCCGCATGACCAGAAGATTCGGACCCGAGCCCTGCACCTGGCGATATAGGGCGGACAAGCTGTGACCACAGGTGGACGTGTCAAACAACATCACCCAGTCGTTGTACTTCACTTTCTCAGGCAAGTGCTTGCGCAGCTGGTACGGTATGCAGTGGAGTGGTATGAGTATATACACGGGTTAAGAACAAACAGACATTTGTTCTAGTATGAATTTGTGTTGGGGTTGTATGAGTATATACACGGGTTAAGAACAAACAGGCATTTGTTCTAGTATAAATTTGTATTGGGGTTGTATGAGTATATACACGGGTTAAGAACAAACAGGCATTTGTTATAGTATGAATTTGTATTGGGGTTGTATGAAGAACAAACAGACATTTGTTCTAGTATGAATTTGTATTGGGGTTGTATGAGTATAGACACTCGTTAAAAGTAAACATACATTTGTTCTAGTAACACTACCACTATCTAACTCCTTGTACCACCACCACTATCCATAGCCCCCACAGGACTGGGAGTGAGTGTAGATAAGCAGGGACATTGGACCGCTTGACTCAGCTGTCGAGCTCACATCAATTTGTTTCATATCATCACTCTCCTGTGATCCTCTACACATACACACACACAATCATTAACACCAACAGAGCTAAGCTAACACACACACACATACAATCAATAACAACAGAACTAACACACACAGTCAATAACACCAACAGAGCTAACACACACTCACACACAATCAACAACAACAGAAC